TGAAAATAAAATGGTGATTCTGAATATATCCCAGCACCATAAACAAGTTAAGCTGTGAGAAAGTGCTCTGTGATCCTCCAATTACGGCTTTTGGCGTTTTTCATTGTGAAACAAAGTTCAGGCTCCTGTTCAAAGTCAGCTCTGTTAACACATTTTTTCCCGAAGCACGATGAACTTTTGCATAAACGTGGCTCGGAAAGGGATATTTTTTAGGACTCACAAACTGTGTGCAGCAATGTGTACATAATCTTCTTTTCCGAAAAAAAAAACTTTTTTCTTTTCCGATTTTCCATGATAAAATATTCTTCCAACAAATTCAACTTTTTTCTTTTCCGATTTTCCATGATAAAATATTCTTCCAACAAATTCGAGAACCTTATCAATTTTATTGAGTTTTACCCTTCCGTTTGCTGCAGTTCTACTTACTATAGCTAACCTTTCATTAGACATTCGCTTTGAGTTCCTAATCAGCCTTCGAAAGGGCAGTTCGCACTGAAAAAGTCTATTTTCATTAAACATTCGCTTTGAGTTTCCAATCAGCCTTCGAAAGGACAGTTCGCACTGAAAACGTCTATGCCTTCGAAAGGGCAGTTCGCACTGAAAAAGTCTATAAGCTTATGTCTGTGCCTTCATCTCGGCTCTTTCGTCCAATCTGCTTTTTCAGGCTTGTAGGTCGAATTTCCGTTTATGATACTGTTGGCAATAGAATTCTTCGACTGTGGTGTATTTCTTCAAAGGTCCTGAAATCGGTATTTCTTACAGCATCCAGAATAGTTTAGGTTTGGGCACTTTAAGAGGTTTCTGGTCGACACTGCAGAATTTAGTATGGGTGAATCATATCCGATTCTCAAACGCCGTGTTTTTTCTTTGGAGAATCCGCTGCTGGGAGCTTTTCGTGAAGAAGCTGTACCCAAATCCCTCTTTTGAAATTTTCTCATTTCTGAATGTTAGTCGACAAATGCTTGAACTCCAATCAGAAAACGTTCCACGCAACTTGTCTAATTTTTATTTGATGTCTTTACTTATAAGTTTGAGATCCCTATATTTCGTGAGATATGAGAAGGGAATCCTTTGAGGGGTCACCCTTCCGATGCTTGGACTGGTCAATTTTGGAGGATGTGTGTGATTGCGGCGGAATTGTGTAACAGTCTCAAGACGACTTTAAATCTTCGAAAATACGAAACCTATACGCGGATGAACACCAAACATTAGAACGAAGTCGAGAGCATTTTGTTGATAAGCACAGTAAACTCTTAATTTTAATCAGTGGCATATTCCGTCTACCTTTTAATTAGGTGAAACTGTGGAATGCATAAGATATAAGATAGTGAATGTCCAGGTACCGGGTAGCCTCCATAGGTAGAAGAAAGCTTCGAAGGAACAGCTGAGAATCCGCGAGAAGAAATCCCGTTTTCTGGTTGCATCTAGAAGTATGGAAAAAACGCGACTACATAAGCAATTGGAATGGTTCTTGCTTGCTCGTATCACATCACTCTCACGATGCCACCATTTTTCCACTGGCAATTCGTGCTCACNATATCACATCGGCTGTTTTTTGGGAGAGTTTGTTGCTATTAGTAAGTCCTTGCTATCTTTATAAAACAGAGCGTCGCTTTCCTACGAGCCGCTCTGTTGTTCCTTGGAACGAGAGAAAAAGGTGGATCGTCCATTTTTCGTGCTAGGTCAATCATAACGTTGACTTTCTAGTTGGAGCCAAGATGACCGCACCGTTCAGCTCGGAGAAGGGCATTATTCGAGATGTAACCTTTCCTCATGAGCATCTTTTGCATCGAGATCAGTCTTCATCAAGCCTATCTTTCTCAAGCGTTGTCTCGGCCCGCATTGGTTCCGCCTATTCGGTGCCCGGCATTGTATGAAGGATAACCCTTGCCGGGCAGATGTTGCGCCATGCCCTCGCTAGACCTTCAGCGTGACCACACTGCAAGTTATGCATGACACTTTTAGAGCGATATCAAAAAGTGTGTCCATCATATCACCTTCAATAAGCCCGGGGAAGAACCCATATGTGGTACTTTCAACACAGCGGTATTTTGTTGGGAAACGATAGTACTGTTCACTACCGTACCCTACCATTGTGTATAAAAGTGTCCCCCTTGGATATGAAACAATTTTCCCGTTGACTCCACAAATGACTACATCGGCCATCTTCGGTGTCACAACAAGACCATTCTCTAATTCGGTGAATAATCTGTTCGATGACTGGCTATGCGAGCAGGGTCGCTATTAAAAATGGCTCAGTTCGGGCCCCTTCGAAGAGGGTCGCTCCATCCTCTATGCCAGCTCTTGCTCCACGATAAATGTATACAGCTGTCCATAGAGTTTTTGCCAGAGTTACATTTTTTTGGAATGACTTTAAGGATGGAACCACACGTCGATTTCGGCCCAATGTGTCATAAAGGTTTCCTAGTTTTGATTTTACAAAAGTCGTTCTTTGGAAGAAAAGTCTGTTTCTTTGGTTCCTCACAGCCTCTTTGCCTTCTCCTTCACAATTATTAAAAATTAATACAGTGTAAAAGGACAGAATAAGTTATGAACTTTTTAATCTTCTGTTCATCGAAGAGGAAAGCGAAATTTCAATATGTGTAATTATCACAGATAGATTTTTAGCAACAGTAGCAACGTGATAAAGTTAAGGATAGTCGAGATTTTGAAAATAACAACGCTTAGAGAAAACAAAATGAAATGAGAACAACAATGCATCAAAACAATTGCTACATTCGCACTAATCACATCACTAAGCAATGCACCGCAGATCTTTTCAATACAGCATGAATATTGTAGACAGATCGCCCCGAAAGCAGAACTTGGTCAGCAATTAACTATAATCCACTGCTGGAATGGCCCAGATCAGTTTCTGAGTTCATACGATCCCAGCACAGATTTTGATAGGAGGATAGGTATGCAAAGTCGTATACATTTTGCCTTTCTTATATATAAAGCGGTAACTTGGGGTGGTGGTTTGCTAAATGCTTGTCTGCGGGTTTGTCCGCCCACGAAACTTTCCATAATTATGACAAAGTAGTGATGAGGGATACAAATTGGGGTAATAGCTTTGTGGAAAAGCTGTCGGAAGGTAGTTGTTTCAATCAGAGCGCTTATAAAGCTTACACAGTCACATAGTTACCTCCTCCATCGGGGTAATCCCAATCACTTGGACTAAGGACACTGTTGATTTGTGGCAAGAGTGAGTAACCATAATTTGTTATTACCATCATTACAACCAGTACGTTGGTAAGAGAAACATTTAATAGAATGGAAACTCAGTACTGGCCACCATCGGATACTGATAGGGTCAGCACAAGGAGGTCGGTCAATACCTATTGCAACTAACGATCTCCCACTATTCGAACAGTACTAGGAGCTGTAACTTAGTAGTAAAATTACGTGTTCGTCTCTAGAATCATACCGTGGTGCGGAAAGTAACCAGCCATATTTGCTCATCCGATTTCAGGCATTGTTTGACAGCAGATTTCTCTGTCCGTGGTGCGACAATTGTGAAAAAAGGAAAAGATGTGCATATCAAGCCCCGTAATTGCGTGCACAACCACTACAAATAAGAAAATGAAAGTGCAAGTTGAGAAAAGAGCCCGAAATTTCATTATTAATTTTAGTTGACTGCATGAGATTACGTTTATCTTACTAAAGTAAAAACTATGAGAAAGTAAGAAAGCCGAAACTAAGCCCTCTAGGGCTACGCCTGTCCTTGGACTAGCTCTTCACACTTGTAAACAGTACCATAACAACCACGCTGTGTTTTTTCCCTGTGGGTGCGCTTAGTTGCGCGCGTCCATCGAAACTAGGTCACGCCGCAGCCGTCGCATGCGGCGAATCAGCCCGCGATACTTGACAGACGTCGCCGTTGACATTGGGGCATACGATTTGCGCTTGGCCCACGGCAGTCAGCTCAAAGAGAAGATAGCACGGACAAATGCAAATCGTTCGCTTCACTGACACTTGGTGGTACTGTAATGTCTCCTTGAGACCTCAGTGGGGTGCGCCGCGCGCGAAGTGGGCGGGGTGACCTACTTTCGACGGATGCGCGCAACGGACGTTCTCCTTTCCCCGTCAGGCGAGTCTTCTATAATAGCGAACCACTTGTTACTACGCCACAACCGTTCACACTATTAATTACTGTAAATGGTGATCCCTAAAGTGGTCACAAGTGGGTGGACCAACTGCATAAAGCAATATAAGCAGTCAATACACAATTTCCGAGAAGGCAGTCAATACTTTTCGCTTCTTCCATACGGCTACCAGGCAGAAACAAAGTTGGGAACATATGGTTCACATTAAATCCTGCCTCACCATCACACGAAACTGACCCGAATACTTCACCTCAAATATGCCACATGAGATTCCTTTTTGAACTATCCCTTTAGACGGGGAAACTAATGCGCGATCAGACCCTCCTATAATTTGATGTCTGAAGATGACTTTTTCAGGCTGAATGTTCCATAGCCACGTGTTCGAGTCTGTTTTATGCGATGGAAGGTGCTCAAAGCTGATGTTTGATAAGAAGAAATACCCTCAGAGTCGCTCCCCTCAGAAGTTAAGAAAAGGGACACATACCTAATACACAGCCATTCCGATCAGAGGTTGGTTTTTATACGGGTTTTAAGGAAAAACAACCAAGTTGTCCTGTGAAGCGAAATCCACCCTTTCTGGGTTTCTGGTTCTGGGTAGGTCAGAAACGGTGTAGTTGCAGAGTGAAAAGTATGAACGCAGCTTACAGAGTCACAATGACTAGCTGATCTAATACTGATGAAATAATACGTTAAATGATATGTTATACAGGGAGATCTTCTGAGTCAGAACTTCCTCCATTATCAAGTAGTCTGAAATAACACTACAAGTGAGTAGCAGGCACGTAGAAAACTTCCGATACGAATTGGAACCTTCAAACCTTGTTCGCTTGCTTCCAGTACCACTTATGACACTTGTCGTTGACCCTAAGAGCGAACTCATTTTACTCGAGATGACTGAGAGCTTTGAATTGCTTCTGAATACCGCGCCGTCGTCCAGACCGCGATGAACTCGTACCTATACCTTGGTATTTCACTATCTGAATTTCAGTAGCTAACCGCTAAGAATCGGAAGTTTCCTGACCTCGAATCGACCCGCCTCTAAAGCTTTTGCATGTCGTTTGAACTCAGGGGTATATAACGAACCATAAGTTGGTTTCCTGCAACGAATCACATTTTTCCAAAATCGTACTCGAATCAAACTTGAGTAAATAGTACCTGTATGCTTTCAATAGCAATGAAGATGTTACCACGGATACACTACTTAGAGCCATAGCGGCAGCAGCCATCCAGGGCTGCAGCATAAAACCAAAAGATCGGAATACTCCTAGAAAGAAATTATTTAGAAATTTGAAAGAACGCTTCCGTCCATCAAGGCAAAACAAGAAGAGTCTAGAACTTTTGGTTTTTGGAGTTTTTGATGGGTACGCAACCTATGCAATGATTATTGGTGGATAATCGACGTACAAGGGCTCGTTTCCTCCTAGGCAAGTCCTGAACCAAGGAGGAAAGGAGGGCTTAGTCAGCCCGGGTGGATGTCGATCGGGACTCGCTACTCTGACCACACATGTGATATGCAGTGCACGCCGTTTGCTACTGTACCATCACCACACTTCCACAGGGGTGGACCCACAATCATTTGATGTAGCTAGTACAACTGTAGTATAGCGTTCACTCCTTTCCTGTAGCATCCTAAGGGTGTGTTATACTGTAAGACCTATACTGTTCCATGTGGTTGAAGGCATCCCAGGCAAACACCTGTGTGAGGGAAGAGAGGGCGGGTGGGTGGGTGAGGGGAAAGGAGATATCAACTTGAAAGTCGACTCGAAACTCGCAGTCAACTCGCAAAAAAAACGAAAATTGAAACAGTGCTCTTGAACCTAGTGCGTAACCAATGTATCGTGGCTGTCTAAGAATAAGGGGAAGAAGGAGGTTAAAATCATAACCCTTCCGCTAGCTTCACTAAATTTCTTCAAGAGCTGCACCCATCTTCAAAACACTGGGAGCCGATTTCAAAACCACCTCAACGAAAGACGCTCTAGACTCTACATAACAGAGAAAGCAGAAAGATTTTGGTCAAAATAACTTCATTGTGAATATATCAAAATTCTAAAAATTACCAGCAGCGACTGGAATTCCTATTGCATTATAGATGATTGCGAAAAGGAAGTTAAGCCTGATTCTTCTCGTCGTCTTCCTTGACAGCTCTATAGCACCAACTACATCGATGAGATCATTCTAGAAGAATAAAGATAGCCACTGAAAAGATGTGTGGAAACTGCTGAAATGAAAGGACCATCTAAACAACGCTCACCCGAACGAGAACGATTCCAGCGCTCTCGATGGCTACGTCACTGCCGGCAGCGATGGCGATACCGACATCGGCAGATGCTAGACCTGGCGAGTCATTAACACCGTCACCAACCATGGCCACTCGCTCTCCAGCATCCTTGAAACAAGCTAGATGACACACGAACCTTCTAAAATTGCACAAAGATAATGGATAAAGTGCTGGGGCGTTGATCAGTCCCATCCAAGGGATGCGCCCCCGCATTCGATTTTCATTCAGAATCTTTGTGAAGTATTGAATGAGTATGTGGCCAACACAAAGCTTGCGGTGGCCAGCCGATGAATAAGTCAGTACTTTCATCCTACCAGACGAGTCTGGTACCAAATAACGGAGCCAGAGGGATGAAAGGCTTGGTTGCTTAGGCAGATATGGATCCAGGATTTGTAAACGTGACCATGCGTGTGTAAAGTGCGCCACTTGCCGCTATACCACCTCTGCCCGAAGTTGCATTTGGTATGTAAAAACATAATCTCAGATACAAGAGCTCAGCTGATTGCCAAAACATCGGCTACGACCATAAACCCTTTGGAGCACGGCACTTTTCTAACCAATTGCAGAAAATTTGCCTTTGTACAGCGTTCAGAAAGGGGTGTTCCTAAGTAAATAAGCCGGTACCGAAAGAAATTTCAAGCAGTATGCCTGGAATCGAGAACTAAGTGAACCAGGTGAAAAAGGTCAGGTGTCCTTTGAAGTTTCATTTTCTCTGGCAATGGCAAAAGGTTAAAGAACAAAAAAAGAACAAACGATAAAGTCTTTGGGCGTCAATCAATCCCCTCTGGAGGATGCATCCCGCATTCGACGTCCCGTATGCATATGTTACCTATACAATGAATTAAGGCGGCCAGCGGATGCACAGTTCAGTGGTTTTAGCCTCCCAGACGGAACTGGTCCAATTAACCGACCGCGAAGAGATGGAAGGTATGGCTAGCCCAGTCGAATATCGATACGGGACTCGAACCTGTGACCATTTGTGTCAGAAGTGGCCACTTGCCACTACACCGCCCTACAAATCTTGAAAGATTAAATTATGGATCGTACAAAAACTTACTTGGAGTTGCTGTATCTTCCTTTGCTTCTGATTCGGTAGCACCTCAGAAAACACGTCCGCAATTCCGACCTTAAAAGCTTTTGGCATGTATAGGATGAAAACCCTGCTCAAGCTTCCCGTGGCGTTATAGGATTCTATCCTCTGGATAATAAGAGTAAGTCTAAGTTTAGAAAGGCCGAAATTGGATCAACAATTATTAACTAAACATAAACAAATATCAAGTTAGCTAAAACTTAGGAGAGCAGGAGCGATAAAAATATGAAAAGAGACTAGATAATGAAAAAGCAGGAAAACTGAAAAAAATTATACTACCAAAAAGAAATGTACCTGTTTTGCTGTAGAACACGCGGTCTTCGCATTGTCTCCCGTCAGAAGCACCACCCGCATTCCCATTTTAGTTAAAGCCCATACAGCCAAAGCTGCCTCACTCTTCACTTTGTCCGCTATTGATATTATCGCCACAGCTTCTCCTGCAAGCTTTGTTCTGACCGATAAGCTAGAAAGGTTTCATTCTCTGAATCGAAGCTGCCGGATGTATCATTTCACCAAAAACTTCTGGGAGGATGCAAGAAACGAGGATCGCTTTGACTTTCAAATTGCTAGAGCACAAACATGGTCACCATCAATGAGCCCTCAAGATCAAGACTCTCACTCGAACTCGATGCTTTCACCGGGAGTTTTTCAAAGAGACAATCCTTCATCACGGTGAACGAGCTGCGACAATCTATTAGATTGATGCATAATTATGCAGATTTTTTCGCGGCTTCTTTTCTCGCGATACATTTGAATATGGAAGCCGGGATTTCCATGGAAATGATCTTCAGGGTTTTCCCAACAGAAACGTATCTAGAAAGTCATATTCATATCGGTCACGCTGTGCTTTATTACTTCGACAAAGGCTGAAGGTGGCAGGCGCCATTTCCGCGACCCCAACGATTTTTTCGGTGATGGAACAGTCAGCCAAAGTCAAGTAAAGNATGGGATTCGCTCCTAAATTCGTCATATTGACCAATAGAAACTCCTATAGATAATCAGATTGATCGTCCGTTGAAAAATTAGCTAACAAGCAGAACTTTTGACGAAATGTATGAATTGATGGCCGACGTCATGGCGTGGATCGCCGCTAAGAATCGAATCCTGTCTGCTTTGGAAAACCGACTGCCTAGCAAATGGGAAGCAGTGCTTAACGTAGATGGTAGATAGGTTCCGGAGTAAGTATTTGAACATGGGTAGATAGGTTCCGGAGTAAGTATTTCAACATGTTCTTGTTAGGTATTTTTATCGTCTATTTATAAAAAAATTGTTGAAAAAAAATCCGCAATTATCATGCATCAACCTAATAATTTCTATTTTGATTCTAAACATCTCCACAAAACTAAGAACGACTGTATATGTCTAAAAAATACTAGGTAGGTTATGATGCACTCCTATAATGCGAAAAGAGGCGATTGAAAATAGAGAACACTCATTTGACTTCAGTACCTCACAGATTTCGGGCTCATGGGGTAACTTGAATGCTTTCCAAAATACAATCGATGAAAAGTATAAAATCCTTGAGTTAATCAATCCCTTCTGAAGGATTCACCCCCGAATTCGACTCCCAGCCAGAATCGTAGTGGTGTATTGAATGCGTGTGTGCCAATACAATGACTTTCGATGACCAGCCTATGTGCAAGACGATGCAATTATCCTCCCAAACGAGTCTGGTACCTTGACCGACCCCGGAGAGAAAGTTTGGTTGGCCTGAGCGGATATTGATCCGGGATTCGATTCTGTAATCACCCGTGTGAGATTGTGCACCACTTGCCACTACACCATCTTCGCCCTTACCATGCATTTTATCAATTTTCGAGAGCTCTAACTGGTTGAGCTCTAGAGTGAGGAGCGCCTATACAACGATGTGACAATGAAAAAGTTAAGAAGATCAAGATGGTGGAAATATGGACAAACCATTTATGGCGCAAAGTACAGATATGTGGCCTTTTTGTTGTTCAGCGGACAGTGCAGCAGCTGTGATGTCATCGATAGGAATTCCATACTTCTCCATCATGCGTTCACTTCCAATTACTACCTCGTAGGTATCATTTTCTCTTTTGATCTTCAGAGTTGGCATGCAGGAAACCTTGAAAATGGAGAATCCTCTCAAACAACGCCCAAATCGAACAAAAGTAATCCCACCTGCTTATGGATGACGTTTGCGTCGGAAATCGCCATTTCTTCACCTTCGGAGAGAACGGGCCCATTCACTTGCTTTATGGAATCTAGAGACTTTCGAACTCCTGAGACCTGACATGACACTCCATGACCGGCTGAGACGTGGAATCGGGACACCGCTGCCCACGTTGGGTCCCGCAGCCACTAAAATGTTGTTCATGGGACAGTCATATGCCTAAAAACGGTTCGTCGTACGGGGCGACTAACCTCCTTCGCAAAATTCGTGATTGCTGCCCCTATGGGATGTTCGGATTGAGATTCTGCAGACCCACATATGATGGCAAGCATTTTCAACGGAATGTCCAGAGGTGATCTCAGAGTCAGAATAGAAATAACTCGTGGTCGACCCTCAGTGATCGTGCCGGTCTTGTCGAAAATTACCGTGGTCACCTGTATTTAAAAACAGCTGATTGGATGAAAGATTCAAAAGTATCGCAGATGATCGGTTAAGGAACGGAAAAGCTGCCGCTCGCAGTCCAAAGTTCGATTGTTTGAAGAAATCAAAAGAGGAAAATTTGTATGTATAGCAATACGGTATGTATGTACGTCCACAGGAAACACCTGCAGTATTCGATTTCAACAGGAACAAGTCAAAGAAAAATTAGTTGATTTGAGAATCAGAGTCCTCAGTTTGTGATGAGATAAGAACATTAAGGGGGCGCTTTCAACAGGGTGTTACCACTGAAATGGACTTGAGCGATATGCTTCTCGGTTAGGGAGCTGCTATCCAAACGATTTACGTTCATCTTTCAGTGCATTGAGAACTTCTGCTCAGCAGCTCTCACAGACATAACGCAGTAAGTCGGTTAGTGATTAGTGAAAAGCACAATTCACGTCAAACTGGGTATCGAAGTTCCGTATTGGTCGGAATCTATAATTTGGAGGTCAACACTTCCAAAAAAGACATTTAAAGAGCTTGTAGAGGAAGCATCTCCGTGGTGAATGCCACGCCCAGTGCAATTTCAACAGATGCTCTGCACACTCGTTTCCATCGCTCATATATATTAGTGTTCATCAACATTAACACTCTCTACCCCAGTAGAGATACACGGAATATCGCGAACTATGCTATAAAATGTACAGTTCGACATAAAAATGGTTTCTGGGATTACCCTCAAGGATGAACCTGTGGTTCCCAAGATGAGCATGTGGGACATTTTTGGTTCGAAAAACGATCTAGACAGGGCGTTATAAGGGCTCCAAAACTGGGTTGGCTCACGGAGACACCCAAAAGAAGCGCTGTTATAGGGTTGCACCTTTCATGACGGGACGTTAGGACGCTGACCTTTAGTATACTTATGTAGGAGACACTCAGATGATTACAGACACATGATCTCATTCAATGCCCTTTCTCAAAAATTTTTAAAGTCTTACATTTCCTCAAAATCGCCGACTTTCACGCTCTCCTTTCCATTTTTACACTATTCCGCACCATAACTTCTGTTATATCAGTTGAGGTAGATACCACAGATTTACCGTTAACTGTGCCCCTGCGCTGGAACCATCAATGGGAAAAGTCAGCAGCGGTTACTGAAAAGTGATCCACTAACAAACTCAACGCCCGCACTTGATAATTTTGTTAAGCTATGCGAGGGAGAGCAGTAGGAAGAAATGAATCAAGTACGGGCTCCGAAGATAACCACAAGGAATGGTGTATTGTATTAGACCGTATGCAGACATGTCCATCACGAAGCAGCAAGCAATACAAGCTCAATGTCTGCGAATGCCCTCATTTCAGCATTCTTGCCTCGAATAGTCCAGTTCAAACCTCACTCAAATTGGTCAGCAGATTGAGAAAAAATTTCTAATAAAATCTGCTTAGAAAACATTGCATTGAAACCCCGCCAACAGTCCGCAAAAGTCTGCGGCTACCAGTAACTCAAACCGATATGTGCGCTCTCTTATGAACTGGATCAGGGAGGTTGTGAGAACTGCTAATAAGCAGTCAAAAGACTGCACAAAAATGAAATTAGCGTGAGCTTTCTCATATAAAAGAGTCTATGTTCGATAATAAGCAAAAATCAGTGATGAGAACCATAGTTTCAAGACTTCCGAAAACCATAAAACCATGGCAATGCAGCAGACTATAAAAAAGGCGAAGTATAAAAATGGCAGGATACAAACCTTGTGAACGGTCTCGAGCGGTTCTCCACCTTTTATAAGAATTCCGTTAGTGGCACCCACTCCTGTGCCGACCATAACGGCTGTAGGTGTCGCCAGTCCCAGACTACAAGGGCAAGCGATAGCCAACACTGTGATTGCCGCCTCGAATGCTACCTTCATGACACTCTCGAAACGGCCTGTCGGCGTCTGAACAATTGAAACAAAAAATAAATGAAAGAAAAAAAAACTGATTATTTTCAATGAATGCAGAACAGCGAGTGCTAGTCGGATCGTGAATGAAAATTTGCTGGAAAGTGGATGCCCTGGATAGAGAATAAATAAATAAAAAGGATCGATAGCACCACTAAGCATCGAATAAGAGGCGATCCTACATAATTTTCTACTCGGAATTAAATGCTTTGCACACTTTGACAACCGAGATGAATTCTAAACTCACTAGCAATTGTTTTCTTCTAGAACTATGACCCCACGAGCCTTATAAGACCGAAAATAGAGACGAAAAAAAAGGTTTTTTCGAGACTTTGGCACGACACCTCATCCATAACGAACTACTCAAAGCTTACTTTGAAATTTTTTAACCCCTCTGTTTACCAACAACTCTACAATTACATTCGGTTAAAGCCGGGATTGCTACAATAAAGGGAGTAATCGGGTTGGTCCCAATGAGCTACTGTGTGGGCCACCATTCATGGAGAAGCCCTGTATTGAAATTATAAATCGGGACGTATGTTCAGAGTGCTCTATCAGCAATATGCTCCTTTNTTTGGTCACTACCAATAGTTTTGAAAATAAAAGAAAGTCCGCCAACATACCAAACTGTCATATTTCCGTGACATGTATCCGATCACTATCCAAACGACCAGCGTAAGCAAAGCCAAGAAAATTACGAATGGGACAAAGTACCCAGCGATACGATCAGCCATTTGTTGGATGGGAGCCTTAACAGGTTATCTTTGGATCATTGGACCAAGCGATACACACTAGATGAAGCTGCTTCAGTTTGATATTTGTTTTCGTCTCCACAGCGAATGAAAGCGAATCCAAGAGGTTTCGTAAACTACCGAAAGTAACGTTCAAAAAAGCCACCTTATTAGTTTGAGCTTCCTCAACCAGCCGCACAATTTGTGCCAAAGTCGAGTCTTGCCCAACCAGTGTCGCTTGTATGATCAGCACTCCTTTTTGATTGACCGATCCTCCAATGACTATGCTTCCTGAAATTATTTGTTTACTGTTGACACCGAAGATGATGTTTTTACAAGTCAAAAAGGATAAAAAAAATAAGAGCTAGGAGGAATCGCCTGAAGGCCAAGCCTATTATTTGCTCAAAATTTCGACCCTTTCGTCACCTTTTTATACGTTTTTGAAATAAACGCGCCATTCGACTCTTAATTACCTGCCCTCCGTTCTGAATGGTTACTCGACCTCGAACTTGCGAGGATTATTTATCACCTTCGAAAAATTGAAAAGACCGATCTAATTGTGTCCTATCTGGCGCTCAGCCCCTCTCCAGAGCAGTTTCCCACTAGCCCGCCTTCTCTACGCTCACCTGGCTTTTTCACAACTGGCATGGATTCCCCTGTGATGAAGGATTCATCTGCCGCACTCTGTCCATCCACCACTATCCCGTCGACTGGTACCTTTGCACCTGGGATCACCTTGATCAAATCGTTACGTTGAACCTGAATCACGCAACTAAAATTATATAGCTCTAAGGGGAGGTTCATCTTGAAACAATGACTTAATACCAGTTCTATGTTGATTCCCCTTTCAGACGTAACACGGCCTTCGGAATCCATTGTAATAAGCGTAGCCTCTTTTGCTTGTAGCGACATCAAACGACTCAGGGCCTCCGATGTTTTTCCCTGAACAAACATATTTGGCTGCAACAATGCTGCCTATTTTTCAGATGCTCACCTTTGCCTTGTGCTCCAACATACGGCCCAATGAAATGAACACAATCAGCATAGGGGGAACGTCGAAGAAGGTCATCGGACTTGATGGCCACCTTAAATATCAGATCGTTCCTAGAGCAGCAAGTTCTAAAGACACCACCATTTCACCTCAAAACCAGTGCAATTATCAGAACTAGTATTGAGTATGTGAAGGCGATTGTCGTAGCCAGCACTATCAGCACGTCCATATTGGCCTGGCCATGCTTTAGTGCTTTCCATGAGGCCACATAGAAGTAACGCCCACCGATCACCTGCAAGATGACAGTAGAAACAACTAGTCCCTCAAGAAGAACTGCAGTAGCTCAAGTAAACCGCAGATTAGTCATTTTACAGACGGTTTTATCATTTAATACAAACTAAATGAGATTTCTAGTAATCACTCACCTGCACAGGTGTACATAACAGTAATAAGAGAAGATTGTCGAGCGAGAGCGCTGGGGAGAATACCGGAGTTTGATTCTCCGGATGCATCGGTGTGTGCAATATCCAGTGGAATATAATCATTATCAACATCACTGGTACACCAAATAACAAACTGACAAAGAACGTGGTACGCCATCTAAACAGTGTTTGGATTACGGATCGAATCAACCTTTTATAAGTGTACGCATGACTTCTTGGCAGAGAATATGACAGTCTTAGTGTACCATGTAATGAGTACTGGGCAGTTCAACTTTGAAGTTTGTGATCGTAAGGCCCAGTGGTAAGAAGGGCGTTCTGCAAAGAAAAGAACGAGAAAATTTTGAAGTAACCAAATCGGAGGCTTGAATTTCTCACGTTCTGGGGACATTGATTCAATAAAGGGTGAAATAGTGATCGTAGAAGGTACAAGTAAATACTACATAGCAAAGGCGTAAAGCCCTCCAAAAGGACATAAGAGAACGTGACTAACAAGGAAGACAGCAAATTGACAAGAGTTTTGAAGATTGAAGACAGAGAGGGTGCGCCATAAATATGGTAACAACTTTTCGGACGTGCGCAATTTCCTTGTTTAGAGAGTTTCTCCAAAACTGTACCTCTCCTTATGTTCATGACACACCTTAGCCCACATATCTACTCTGGTACTCTCAACTGGTTAGATTTCGAAAAGCAGTGAAGCCCGCAGCACCCACCAACCGTTCCGTTTTTGCGCGCATTTGATGAATCCTTTACCGGGATCGTTCCTCGTTTCAACGCTTCCCACACGAAGTCTCTTGAATCGCGTAGCGTAGACAGGTCAAAAGCCCGAAATGGCCGTCTTGCCTCTTATACGAACCTTTTTCCGAATACAATTTTTATGGGAAGGAGTATGATGCAGAGCGTGCAGAAATACGAAAATATGACTGCTGATTCGTTGTATGTTCTACTCCGATGAGAACAGTCCACCGTGAGTAAATACAATTGTATCCAAATAGGATTCGAAAGCCTTCTAAACATTTTGATGAGAAGAATTTGAATAGATAGAACATTTGCTGTACGCCACTTGCGCGCGGCACGCGCTTCGACAGATTTTTTTCTCACTAACAGTAAAGAGTGTTTAGCATGAAAGAAATGTTGAGATTTCAGAGTATACGTATATTTCACACTACGAGTGCTGAAGCCGATGGGAAGAGTCAGATTGCCTCCCATAGCCATTTTCTCTCTTTTGTGATAATTTGCGCTAGAATCCCTACCATCACAGCGATATCGCAAATTTTGGTCGAGAAAAGTATAAAACTCAATCTGAACCTCTTGAAAAGGGTTCTTGGAGGATGCAGCTGAGGGTCAGAAATTTTTCTAGGGATACGACTTGAAAACTGTGACGCACTTGTTCTCGAATCGCAAAAGATCAAGACTGGTGCTGAGGAAATGTTCGCGACTTAATCCCAGCTTGCAATCCTTCTACGAATTCCCGGACCACAATGTGGTGGGTCGCTGGATATAGTTCACGCTGGAGAGGGAACCCTGCGCTTCAGAACGCACCACTGTTGCTACTCCTAAAAAATCGCTGAAAAAAGCCTGGCTGAAATTTTTCAAGAACCTCTGCGTGCCACTGTCGATTAGTAGCCGGAGCATCTTTGAGCTATCATTAGTACAGGAAATGGTTATATAAGATGGCGGTGTGTTCGTTTTGTGGAAGTGATGCACAGCAAACAGTTCACAAAACTTGATCGTGTATCAATATGAACTATGGTTTTTGGAGGCTAATATTTTTGTTACCATATTTATGGCGCACCCCGTATCTTATGATTACCTTTTCGATGTGTCTAGGACAGAAATATAAAGTCTTTGGATGTTAACCAATCGCGCCTGAGGGATGCGCCCCCTCATACGACTTCTATTCAGATTCGTAGTGGCGTATTGAATGTGTATGCCTATAGAGGTGGCCAGCCGATGTAGAAAGCGCTATTATCTTTCCAGACAAGTTTGGTACCCCGCCGTTTCCGATGTTTACTCACTAAAAATTCCAGCTTACTACTTCTTGTAACTCAACACAGCTCCGTCTACACAGCTTTCTAGGACTTTCATGTTAATAACACCGTTTTCTCCTACCAAGCAGTCACGTGCACAACTCAAAAGAAATATGAATAAGGAAGAAGCCACACTTTCGCACTTCTGCAGAATGATCCAATCGTTTCATTTGGTCGTCTTTAGTCGCAAGCTCTGCTGTGTAACCAAGAGACTGAAATGTTATATTGTTGTCAATTAATGCACAGTCAAATATCATCGCTACAAAAACAAAAACACGACAAAAAATGTACTAGTGCCTGTCAATAAAAATGATTCGAAAAATGGTTACAAATCGCCCTTGAATAGTCAGAAAAAAGCGAATACATTGGAAATATGACTTTTGGTTGGGTGTTAAACTCTACATCTTGGAGCCATCAAAAAGTAGCAATCACGTTAAGTCTAATTCTTTGGCGATCAGTCCCATTTCTGGGATGCCCCTCGCATTCAACTTCCATTCAGAATCGCAGTGGCACAGGCGGCAATTACAACGACCTGCGTTGGGCTTTTACGTTCCCAGACGATTCTAACATCGGTTAACCGACCATGGAGGGTTGGAAAGCTAGGTTGGCCTGGGCAGGTAACTATCGCAAACCCGATTCCCGAACAATGTGACTGACTGGCCGCTTGCCGTAATACCAGACTCGTTCTTTAGTTCGCTTAAGCTATGAATAAATAAGCAACTGATATGTATAGTTAGGAGACGCTTTATTAAGTAATCTGCACGATTCCATTAAAAAATGTTCATTTACAGCCAATGCTTTTTCGAATGATTTGATTACTTGTTTAATCCAGACCGACCTCAATCACAGCGATAATATCCCTAGGGCCGATGACTGACTGCGAGAACTCGACTGTGGCTAGCGATGTGGCCAGGGAGACGTTACATCCTTCAACACCCATCTTCGATATGACGTGCGATTCAATGCGATTCACGTCTGCCTCACTGTTCAAACCCCCGATCTGAAGAGCTGCGACTGAATCCTTCGAACAAATGGCAAATGAAACATCTTAGCATACCGTCAAATGGATTTTGCTGAAAGCCGAAAAGGGCGAGTCAATCAAGCTTGCGCGATAGCCGAGTGAAGTCATTTCAGCGATTAACTTTTCTACACTGATCAACGACGGATTGTAGTTGATCTCAGCTTTACCAGCTATCAAAGCCACTACTACAGACTGTACTCCTGTAACGAGTGGAAATTAGATGATTAAAAATTATTTCCAAGTCCACAGAATCGAAGCTCACTGTCCCGAGAAAAAAGTAAAAAATAAATAAAAAAATTAAAAAGTTGATTTGTTGTTGAACTCGACTTCCCCACAAATAATAGGAATCTCTCTATGTTAGGAATAGGAAAGAAAAGAAAAAGAAAATTCCGACTACTAACCTTTTAATTTTGCAATATTTCTTTCAATATACTGTACACACGACGCACATGTCATTCCTTCAACTGCCAACGTACATTTCTCCAAATTTTCGGTGCCAAACTTAAATTATCGAGTTTTAATTTAGCTTTGATACAAAAATTCAATTAGTAGTACGATGGAATGAAAACCAGTTGTCAAAGATTCACAAACCTCAACGTTCTGTGCTGATTCACCCATAGACATTTCGACTTGCTCAGGTTTATTAGAGGAGAACCGAGCCGAAGTAGCCTTCTTCCGGGACGCGGGCGATTTTGCGGCCACGGCGACATTTTTAACTTCTCAAAAATGTATAGTTGAACTCAGGAAAAATGAACTAGACTGCAGCCATTCAAATGGTGAAGAGCATAGACAGACACCGCGACAGAACTAACGGGGGCAGATTACTGTAGGCCAGATCAGGTGTCTTCAACCCCTGGGTTTGATCAGTTGATTCCACGATCCCTTTGGAATAGGAAGCGGTAACATGAACGATACCGTACGATACCAACAGTGTCTAGATTTGTACGAAGTGCACATTCGCCATCATTATCAGCACTGGTATGGGGGAGCGCGAAGACGTTCACCACAGTGAAACCATCGGCCTTTTTTACCAGAAAACCTAGAATTTCGAAGCAAGCGTTCAGTCACTGATTCTACTAATAAGAGCCGTCACTTGGAAATTTCTTACCATTTCTACAACAGTACAAAGATTCCCGCCTCTGAGCAGGGAGCTCTAACAGTATAAAAACGAATGAAATCGAGTGAATGAGACCATGGAATCTAACGGGACAATGGGATTCAGAGCAGTTATGTCCCAGAAATAAGAAAAAGTTATGAACCGCCTATAAACGTACCGTCACAAGCCAACAATTTGGCCTCGAATCCCATGTCCTCCACAGCCTCAACTACCTGCTCGGCTGACAGAACAGACGGATCAAATACAATACGACCTGAATCGAAAGTACAGCCTCGTTGTACATACGTAATCATCCAGTAAACAAAAAATGGTGAGTACCTTTCTCTTCTTCTAATGAGACCACTACAGAGGAAACACCATTTCGCTTTGAAACTGTGTCTTGAATATTGTTCACGCAAGCATGACAGACCATCCCCTTGATGGATATCGTGGCTTGTTTTGGAACAGAATTTGCCGCGCCTAAAAAGGTGTCATCCTCCGGAATACATAGCTTCACAGAAAGCGATATTCCCTAGTAAAAGCCAAACCTGAAGGAAAACAAACGCCCTCACGAGTGTATTTGAGTTTTGCTTCAAAACCCATATCGTCAATACCTTCAGCCACGCTCGCTCCAGTCCAAAGTGAAGGGTCAAAGACGACAACACCTGTGAATGCTTCTACAGAGAGTGTTGAAAAGAGCACAGACAAAAGGAAAAATCACCTTCAGCGTCTTCAAGTGAAACCTTGCAAGAGCGAATACCGGGGCGATTTTTCATGTTGTCCTGAATGTTGTTCACACATGCATGGCAAGTCATGCCTCTGGAAATGGACGCCTTTGTCGTTCTTACTAGCCTAATCACCCAAATAACTTACTTTATACTGATGACAGCAGTTTGTGG